AAACAGTGCCCACACGCTGCCACACGCATCGGTAGCTCGTGGGTGTCTAGAGAAATTCCAGCGACCGGAAAATTCTCGAAACACCCATCAATATCTATACCTACATGATTAAGACAACGAGTGAAGCAACTTTTGTTCTTGGACCATGGCCAAAAAGTGACCGGAACTTGCCGGAATCACCAGCCGAAAATCGGCCAAACTTTAAGCGATAAATCGAGTTCCAAAACTCAAAAATCTATCCTAATCAACCCAACCATAAACTAAAACACATTGAGAGGATGAAAAGCATACCTAGATGGACAAAAATGGTGGCCGGAATCGCCGGAACAAGCGATAGAAAATTTTGGGTAAAAACCGGCCAAACTTTAGCGTTTTTCGACGACAGGAGGCAGCGGCTGAGGGGTGGGGTGGGAAGAGGGGAGCTGGCCGATCGTTTTGGGACTGGTCCTACTTAGATGGTGGCCGGAGGTGGCGGTGGCAACCATAAAACCAGACGGTTGTACTGTTTGGGGGGGGGGGCTGTTGCGCGAAGGAGAAGATCGGGAGAGAGAGAGAGAGAGAGAGAGAGAGAGAGAAATTATGGTTTTTGTAGGGGCCTTTTTCTTCCGGCAGCAAGTGGGTTGGGCTGCTGTAAGGAGCAATCTGATGCAAGTGTCCCCTTGTATCTGAGTTCAAAGATTAAGCCCCAAAGATGTCTCGAAAGGGTGATGACGCCTTAGGAAACTCCTTGGTTACCTTCACCAATGAAAATAACAACAAATTACAGATAAATCTTCTAACTTTGCATGAGAAGATTATGGCATGGGAGCAAAATCATCATGGGTTTAGTACTTGAGGAGAGAGAGCTGTGGGTTCCTATGAGGGACAGAGATTCTAATGGAAGGAGAAAGGGGTTTTAAGGAGGTTTGATGAAGAGGGAGAAGGATGGTGAAGAGTTTTGGGTGACTTTAGCATTTTCCGACAGCTTGACAGTGACTCTGTCAAAGCTTCTATCAATCTGCCAAAACAGGGGAAATAGGGGAAATGGGCAAGGATAGCACGAAAATTACTGGGTTTGCATGTAAGAGAGGAAGCTTGCTCTCTGAAGATTGTGGGTTGATTTGTTGGGTAGAAGATGCCCTATTTATAGCTGCTGGGAATTGTTCTTCTCCAAGAAACCCTAATGGTTTCTTTTCAATCTAGCCAAGCTTTCATCTTCCTTTCTTCTCCTCCCTCTTGACTTACCTTATGGTGGCAAAAATCAGCTCTGCCCAATCCCATAAAATCAGAGATTTTTGGGGGCTCAATACTTCTTCCTGCGGCTGCTTCAGAGAAGAGCTTCTATTTTCACCCATCTTCTTTCTCTTCTTTCTTCCTCTTTCCATGGCCAAATCTGCTGAAGGAAAGAAAATGGGTGTGCATGCTGGTTCAAGGGATGGCATCCTTCCCTGCGTGCCAATATCCCTTGGTCTCTTGAAGGCTTTCACTTGGAACTTGCTCCTTAGCCTCCCAACAGCCCTTTCACATGTGGATTCCCCAAGCTCTTTCGTGATATTGTCTTCCAGATGAGTGCCAAGGCTTGTGCTGCTTTTTATTCTAATTATATGGGCTTTTTAAGACAACCACATGATCTATCCAATGGATGAGATAACCTTATCAAATGTTGGGCTTTTTGGTTGGCTTATTCTAATTGGAGCAATGGGCTATTTTGGTTGGGCTACTCTAGTTGAAGCAATGAGCTATTTTCTCTCTTGTGCTTACCCACGTTTGGGCCTAAAAAAATGGGCTTGAGTCCCGAGGCCCCAAGCGACCCGAGACTTCCATTTCTCGACCCATCGATGGGCCCCATGACAACTTGTTACCATCCATACCACAACCCACTCAAGCAAGCCCCGGGCATTCGAGTGGCTTGGGCCCACTTAAGCTTGTAGTGCGATTGGGTGTGAAATAATAATTGCCCGCTTGGCATGGCATATCGCTTGGCATGGCATGTCGTTTGGCATGCTTTTAATTATGACGCTTGATAGGATAATTGGCATGGATTTGCAGAGCTAAATGCATCTTTATAATTTTAATCTCAATTTCTAGCATGACAAATTTTTATTTGGCATGGCATGCAGGGTGTGGCTTGTGCCTCATCTCGGTACGATATTCCTAAAAATACCACTTGTTGGTCCAAAATCCTTCTGGGTAGAAATGACCATTTTGCCCCTACTAGAGGGCAAAATTGTAACTTCACTTTTTAAAGTAAATTAAATCCAAACTTATCAATATTTCGGGTCGGGATGTTACACAAGATCCATTCAGCATTGTGCTACATGTCTGCAACTGACAGGATTGACAATAGGGGTGGGCATTCAAACCGGCAAACCGGAAAGCCTAGCCGAACCACACTGAAAAAAACGGAGAAAAAACAAAGTTGACCAAAAAGTCAACAATCGGTCAAAAAAAAACGAATCGGACTGGTTTGGACCGATTTTGGTTTCGATTCCATGCCTTCAAAAACTGGCCCGGGCCGAACCGAACCGGTCAAATTAAAATATATAATTATATATTGTTAGACATCTCCACACCAAGCCCAACTCCAAAAGTCAAATAAATAAATAGGCCCAACTCCATTTCTTAACCATTTCACCAGGCCCAACTCTATTTCTTAACCAAGCCCAACTCTTTATATTCATTTGTACCACTCCCTCAACCATTTCTCATACCCTAGCCATCCCCTTCATCATCTCTCTTTCAAAAATTCTTCTTCTTCTCTTCTTTGTTGCCGACTGTAGGGGACTTTTTCTTCTGACAGCTATAAGTGGGCTGGACCACTGTAAAGAACAAATTGATGGAATTGTCCCCTTGTGTCTGAGTTAGAAGATCAAGCCCTAAGAATCTCTCGAAAGGGTAGTGAAGCCTTAGGAAACTCCTTGGTTACCTTCACCAACGAAATTAACAACAATTTACATATAAATTTTCTAGCTTGGCATGAGAAACTTGTGGCATGGGAGCAAAAGTGTCATGAGTTTAGCACTTAAGGAGAGAGAGCTGTGAGTTCCTATATATGAGAGACAGAGGTTCTAAGGGAAAGGAGAAGGAATTCTAAGGAGGTTTGATGAAGAGGGAGAAGGATGGGGAAGAATGATGGGTGGCTTTAGCAGTTTCCGGCAGCTTGACAGAGACTCTATCAATGCTATATAGCAACCTGCCAGAACAGGGGAAATAAGGGAGATGGGCAAGTAAAGCATGAAAATTACTGAGTTTGCAGGTGAGAGAGGAAGCTTGCTCTTTGAAGAGTGTGTTGATTTGTTGGGTAGAAGAGGCCCTATTTATAGCTGCTGGGAATTGTTCTTCTCCAAGAAACCCTAATGGTTCTTTTCCAATCTAGCCAAGCTTTCATCTTCCTTTCTTCTCCTCCCTCTTGACTTACCTTATGGTGGCAAAAATCAGCTCTGCCCAATCCCATAAAATCAGAGATTTTTGGGGGCTCAATACTTCTTCCTGCGGCTGCTTCAGAGAAGAGCTTCTATTTTCACCCATCTTCTTTCTCTTCTTTCTTCCTCTTTCCATGGCCAAATCTGCTGAAGGAAAGAAAATGGGTGTGCATGCTGGTTCAAGGGATGGCATCCTTCCCTGCGTGCCAATATCCCTTGGTCTCTTGAAGGCTTTCACTTGGAACTTGCTCCTTAGCCTCCCAACAGCCCTTTCACATGTGGATTCCCCAAGCTCTTTCGTGATATTGTCTTCCAGATGAGTGCCAAGGCTTGTGCTGATTTTTATTCTAATTATATGGGCTTTTTAAGACAACCACATGATCTATCCAATGGATGAGATAACCTTATCAAATGTTGGGCTTTTTGGTTGGCTTATTCTAATTGGAGCAATGGGCTATTTTGGTTGGGCTACTCTAGTTGAAGCAATGAGCTATTTTCTCTCTTGTGCTTACCCACGTTTGGGCCTAAAAAAATGGGCTTGAGTCCCGAGGCCCCAAGCGACCCGAGACTTCCATTTCTCGACCCATCGATGGGCCCCATGACAACTTGTTACCATCCATACCACAACCCACTCAAGCAAGCCCCGGGCATTCGAGTGGCTTGGGCCCACTTAAGCTTGTAGTGCGATTGGGTGTGAAATAATAATTGCCCGCTTGGCATGGCATATCGCTTGGCATGGCATGTCGTTTGGCATGCTTTTAATTATGACGCTTGATAGGATAATTGGCATGGATTTGCAGAGCTAAATGCATCTTTATAATTTTAATCTCAATTTCTAGCATGACAGATTTTTATTTGGCATGGCATGCAGGGTGTGGCTTGTGCTTGGCAGACTTTCGTGTACTCCAAATTGGGTATTTTTCCAATAATATATCGTTTTGGGCTAGGAATTTATTCGGGCCTAACCATGGATTTTTTGGGCCTCAACAGTTTTTAAAAACCAACTTCATAATATTTATGATTATGCCGCTAGGCTTCCGTTGATCGTAACTTCTTTGTTACAACTCCGATTTGAGCCCACTATGTGTCTACGGACTCGTCTCGACGCGAAGTACATTATGGTGCCATTCATTTCCCTCAAAATCCTTCTGGATTTAAAAGTGATCAAAATGACCCTATTCCCGGGGGCAAAATTGTAATTTCATAATTTATTAAATTAATTAAATTAAACGAATAATTAAAATTGGGTCGGGATGTTACACCATTCTTAGCACTAATGATAGAAGTAAACCCTACATCATTTAATTTATATAAATAAACCCAAAAAAAACCCAAAAAATGACAGCTGATCTTATTGAATTTATTTTTGATTATTAAACTACTTTGTGTTTTGAGTTTTTTTTATAAGGTTTTGGGGTTTGGCTTATTTTAAGAAATCGATGACAATTTTGTAATTTATAAGAAGTTAAAGCCTCTTTGTTATGTTGTAAATGAACTTTCGGTGTGTTTCTAAAGTCCATTTCATATAGGGTATTTATATAATTTGGGCCATTGTATTGGGTATATCAGTGAATGCCCCATTATTTTATGCCGATACACATACCTGTAGAAGAACCCACAGTTCACAAGAGGGTTCACAATATACTGAAAGTCTTGACACAATTCTCTCTGTTTCTCTCTTAATCAAATTGAAAACCGAAGGAAGCAAAATGTTAAGAGTTTCTCATCTGACACCAATAGCGCCTCCAGCTCTCAGTGCTCTTAGACTATCTCTGAGCCCCACTCTCAACCTCCTTTCTCCTTCCAACGTTCACAAAGTCTCTACTTTTGCACATTCTCAGACTTCTCTCTCCCTAATCTTCAGACCCAGTTCCCTACATTCCCCTTCTTTGAGCGTGAAGTGGGTTCTGCAGCGTATGGTTGGCAATCCATGTCCCAAGGGTACAGGTGCCTCGTAATATCCAAACCCATAATTTTTTTACTTCCTGATTTCTAAGTATTAGTTGGGTTTAATTTTTGTTTTTTGTTTTCTGTTGTTGGGTTCTTGAGAAAAGTGGAGAAGTAGGAAAAAGGAATGAAATTTCTTGCACTCATGTTATCCGTTGCTTGGAAAACTTGGGAATTAAAGTACTGAATTCTAAGACTGAATTAAAAACAAGCGCACCTCACTATAATCCAGCAGGATATGAATGAACAAAATGCTTTTGTCACAAATGAGCTGGCTTGTGAGGCTCAACAAATCCTCTTGTTGAGAGTACTTGTGGTTGGGTTGTAGTTAAAAGTACTTAAAATTTGAATCTTCTTAGCACTACCAATGTAATGAAAATAGGGTGGAGTTGATTGAAAGATTGGAGTCTTTATTTTTTAAGAATACAGCACGTCTCTCAATTGTTTTGCTCTTGCGTGATTCCTCTTCTTTTGAGTGCACAATATTGCTCCGTCTTCATTTCAATGACTGTTAATAAAATATTTGATGGTTGGTTTTTTAACCAGTGCACGACATTGGCATTTTTTTATTTGTTCATTTCTACTTCTAACTTCTAAGTTGCTTCCTGTTGTATATATTACAATTCCTTGTTCAAGTGTTTTAAATTCTATTCCTTTCAGCTTCGTTTAGTGCTGAAAGTAGCTCTCGAGATGGAAGGGAAATATTGGTGCAGCACTTGCTTGTTAAAGAAGACAACCTTAAGCTTCTTGTAGATCTCCAGCAGAGAGTTTCAGGAGGTTAGTTTCCTTAAGTTTTGATGGTTAAAAAGGTCAAAACTCAAATTTTCTATTTAGAATTATGTGATAACTTTTCAGAAACTTTGAAACTTTAAGTTTTACTAAATTTTGTGGTTTCCTTAAATCATAATGGTGGACTGCTTGTCCTTATCTTTCTTATTTGTACTTTTTATGCATAACATTTTTGTTTCCTATCAAAACAATCAATCATAATGGTGAAAGCACTAAATTTAAAGTTGGACATTCTCTTATACAATTTGGCTTTTCGATGCTGTGCTTGTTTGCCATTGTCTCATTCAGGTGAAGACCTCAGTGATCTTGCTGCGGAATACTCGATATGTCCATCCAAACAAGAGGGGGGAATGCTTGGCTGGGTGAGAAAGGGGCAAATGGTACGCTGATGAGATAGCTATTTGTCCTTCAAGCTTTCTAAAATAATAGGGGCACTGGAAATTACTTTGTTGTCTAATTGTTGTTCTCTGAGCTTTGTTGTAGTGAGAGCATCATAGAACTAAGTAGCAATTGCCATCTGATGACGTTAATTATTCCATCTTGGAAGTATGCTATGTCTTCTCCCAAATTATCTGTTGCATAACTTACAGGAAACTTTATTTTCTTGGGACTAGTTCTTGTGTAACCTCTTTTTTATGAAAAGAGAGTAGCCCTGTCCACTGGGGGCCCAATTGGGCTGTGGGTTTCATAGTGGAGGTAGCACTATCCCATCCCATGATATTTTGAGGGTTGGTTCTCTAATATTCCATCACACATGATCTGGTTTTGTAAGGAAGGTCTAGACTCTGTAGTACCGGAAAACTATAATTACAAAAGCCAAAGAAGTTTAGTAGTAAGGAAACAATAATTTATTTTGTGAATCACTAAGGCACTGGAATGTTTTCTATGTTGCTTAATGGATAGTTTGCTGCCTTTACTTTTGTTGTTTAACATAAAGTAATGAATTTTGAATCATACGTGTATGATGATGAAGTATTACTATGTGAAACTGAAATGAATGGCAGTGAAAAGGTTGATAGGAAAAATACACTTAATAAGTATTGATCTGTATGTTTTGTTTATGGGCAAATATGATTTGACAGAAGTGTGATGGCAAATTGTCCCAGGTACCTGAGTTCGAGGAGGCTGCATTTAATGCATCTTTGAATAAAGTTGTAAGGTGCAAAACAAAATTTGGGTGGCATTTACTGCAAGTACTGTCAGAGAGGTATGGCTTAAAAACTTGTCTTGTACTGAATCTCTTACATGGAAATGCAGTCGAGGTGCGGACTAACACTTGAATATACTAATCTGTTTATTGACGCGCACCATATTCTGTTAGGGAAGAATCAGTACTCCAAGACATTCAACCTGAGGAGCTTCATGTGAAAATGCAAGATCCCAGTTTCCTAGATGAGGCCCAGTTGATTGATGTTCGAGAACCCGAAGAAGTGTATGTTCTAATATTTTAATTCTGCTTGTCTACACATTTTTCTTTTCATGGATGTTCTGATTTCAAATTCTTGGAATGAACTTTTAGTAGTGGGTTTATCTATATATATGATCATATTATATTGAGAAGTTCAAATTTGAAAGTAAGCAATTAACCAGAAAATTTTGGTATATGATGTGTTGTATCATAAAAAGAGCTTTGAACTGGAGGGATATTGAGAATACTTAAAAGAAATCAAGAATGAAATAAGTTATAACAAGAAAACATTGTTATGGGAAAAACTGCAGTTAATTTGCAGTATTTATGAAATTTTACCCAATTTGAGGAAACATCATATATGGATTAATGTGCAAAGCTAGTGGCGATACATTTCATAATCTTCTTTACTTCTTTACACTACTACTTTGCTGAAAATATGGGGTGCTTCATTTTTCTCTTGACCGGATAAGGCTGTGGTCCAGTCTTTGGGTAATGTGCTTTATTTTTGGAATCATCGTTTTAGAAGACATTCTTACAGTGATGTTTGGAATCCGACCCCTTTGTGTGCTATGCGGTGTTTATGGTGGGAGAATGGGAGATAAATGCTAGGACTTTTTACGATGTTGAAGCTTCACCTTCTAAACTCAGTTTCTTTTCTATTTGTTGTCCATATGAGTTGTGGGTGTCTTAATTCTTTTTATATCCTATGTTGATAATTTATTAGATCAAGTTACATTTAGATTACAGCTCTTCCTTTTTTGGTGTATCTTCTATGTTCTTCCTGCAGTAGAACTCCCCTTTTCTTACTAATATTTAGTAGTTATAAAAAAAGTATATTTATATAAAAGCTTGACTCCTTAAAACTGAGGAGGAACTCCTCTTCACAACAAATAGAGTTTTGACACTTGTCAAATTCCTTGAACTTGATTTTCTTTTGAATTTCTTGAACTTTTTTTTTTTTGGAATTTTTCAAGTGTCATTATCTCATTTGTTGTGAGGAGGAGCTCCTCCTCAATTAAGGATCCAAGCCATGCTCTTTATTTTCCCAAGCTAAGTATACGTAGTGTTAAAAAATGCAAAGAAAGTTTTTAGTCAAGAATTAATATAGAAAAAAGTTGTCTAACACATGGAGAAACTCATCGTAACATTTTAAACTAATTCTGCAGGAGCTTTTGGCTTTAGCATGCATTTTTCTCTTTTCTTGAGCTAATTACTAGGATTCTCTGTGTTTTTGAAGACATGCGTCACCTTTGTTTCACAGGGCGCAAGCTTCTTTGCTGGGTTTCCAGGTTCTTCCCCTTCGAAAATTTGGAAGCTGGGGACCTGAAATAACTACGAAGTTTAATCCTCAAAAGGATACTTATGTTATGGTAGGTATAAACCTTTTTGTGCTAACCATCCCCTCTGTTTATTAAATAAGAGAATATATATATTTTTGAAATGAAATTAATATAACCAAATAGTTTTAAAAAATGAACATGAAAAATTTCATAATTATGTTTCATGCCTATCTTTTCATGAGCGGGCCATCATTGTGGGGATAATGTGTAATCTTGTTCGTAGATGAGTTATCTTCTTACATGATGGCAAGACAGTGATACATTAAGATATATGACAACCAATCTACATCTCCTGGTCCAGTCTCCACTTTTGCGTTAATGAAAAGGTTAGCTGTAAGTTGTAACCTCTATAATATCTCATCACCCTTGACCACATGCTGAACCTTAACCCTCGGGTTTGGTGAAATTGGCTATCCATTCCTCATTTGCTTGTTTTTCCTCTTACACCCTCCACATCCCAAACAAGAAAGAAGCAAAAAAGAAGAGAAAAAGAAGAAAGATGATTAAGTTCTAGTCAAATCCATTTTGGAAACTCTCTATATATTTGCCCCCAATCTTTGCATGTCTAAGCAGTAATCTGCCTGAATGTGAAAGCAGTGTTTCTATTTCCTGCATTTATTAGGTGCTAGACTGTCCATAGAAAAATATTATAAATTGCTACCTTTGAGTAATTAATTAGAAGACAATTATGGTGGGACACTTATGTAGATTAGTAATGGGAACTGTCATTTTGGATACTGTAAGTAATCATCCACTCTGTTCTAGTACCAAAATGTTAAATCCTCCTGGCAGTCTGCGTTTGTTGTTGGCAAGGATAATGCCGATAGGTTATGAGCCCCTCAATTAAATATGTTCTGCATATTTTAAGTTCTACCCTTTGTTGTTGTGTTGCCTATTACAAATCTGCCTATGAAACTTCCTACTCTCTCTTTGATTGTAGATTTATTTTGACAAAAGCAAGGGAAAACTTCTTATTTTGTATCAATCTGTTTTTAGCATTGCACAATGATTCACTCACTCACACATTTACATTTGTGTGTTTGTCGTCTTTTTTCTAAATATTGCATTATCATTGACATTCAAAACATTTATACATGATTGTGTTTGTTTGTATGCATGTGCGTTGCCTGCTTTTATTTATATAACTATTACAACCTGGAGATAACGTCTTTGCTTAAGATTTGACCAATGCTGAGTTGTATTTTCAAAGAACAGTGTGATGTGAAGTTTTAAGGCAGGGCCAGGGAGACATTAAGTTTAAATGACATTCACATTTCTAGCTTCTACATTTGTTTTTCGCTAATTGGTGTATAATTGTCTTCTGATTAGGAAAGAGAAATCTGTGTTTGAAATTCTTCTACAGCCATCTCTTTTTTTTTTTTCTTCCAGTAAATATATTCACATGGTAGGCACACCAAAACTTATAAAATTATAGACTCAGTAGCCAATAAACTTCTATACTTCAATAAATCTTTTCTTTTTTTAATTAAAGAGGGAGGCGGAATTCGAAATTAGGGCCTCTTCCATCATTGCGAACAGAGACACCACTAAACTAACAACTAGTTGGTTATTATTCAATAATATCAGTCACAAAATTTCTTTAAAAAATATTTGCTATTGTATATGATTAAAATCAGACTTCATAAACAGTCCATAACTTATTAGAATTTATGATTTCTTTTGCACTTTTCTCCATATTTGTATGCACGCGTGTGTGTGTAAGAAGATGTACATATAGGGGCAGGTTTTTAACCAGTTGGAGGTTTGAGATATATTAGGGTTTAGGGAAAAGGGTTGTTTCTTAGTTTTCAAATCCAAGAGTTTAAACATGTATTCATTCATGTGCCGCTTATTGTCCTTTCACTCGACGTTTTATGTTAAATCCTCGCTTTTCGATTACTTTATACTGACGTTTCATGTTTCCAAAATGCAGTGTCACCATGGCGTCCGATCATTACAAGTTGCCAAGTGGTTGCAGACACAGGTAAAGCTCTTTCTCCTATGTTATTTACCCTAACTGGAGTTTCCTCTACTAAGTCAGATGACTTCATTTCTTTGCGGGATCCAGATACTACCTCAGTGCTGATATTTTGCATTTCCTTACTACCTCAGTGCTGATATTTTGCATTTCCTTTATTTTTCACATTTTTAGTAGCTGCCTCACTGTTCATTTGTTGAAGTATATATTTAAAGGCCTTTAGCCAGTGACTGACACATGTTTGCTCTGCTCCTCATTGAGCAACTTTATTGTTTCTAATTTGAATTTCCTCTGTCCTTGCCATGTATTGGAAAGTCTTTAGGAAAACATTTGAAGCAAAGTTGAAAGAAAAGTTTTTGGTGTTTAACTTAGTCTAACTTTTACTTTAGCAACCATTAAGCAGAAGCTCTTGTAAACAGCATCAAAATGCCTAAGAAGTCGAATGTAATTAATTTCACTTCCACCCTACTGAAACTTCTGAATCTTCTTATCAAAAGACGCACTATATATGAGGCCTTGTACATAGTAATTTGTTCCTGTCAAACATCTACACTCATATAAATAAAGTTGTTCGCTGCCATGGCCCGAAGGAGCCTTAAGCACTTGTACTGTGCTCAAGCAAAGGCTCTGGGCAACAAGTAGGATGGAGCCTTGACTTGAGCATTATATTAGTGCAGGGTTTAGGGTGGTTGTTTACTTGTTCAAACGTGTAGCCTCCTTGTTCCCATTCCTAGCTGATCATAATTTCTCTTTTCTTAGACAACGAAAAACTTTTCTTGTTCCATTTTATATCGTTTCAATTTCCATCCACCCATGCACATTTTATATCCTTTTATTTTCATAAAAAAGGGTTTTTATTACAAGTGGCCCCTGAACGTTTTAAAAGTCTATTATAGTCCTCAAACTCTCAAATCATTTATGTTGTCTTCATCTTTTGGTGTACACATCAATTTGGTTCGTGCTGTTGCATTCCGACAAAGCTTTTGTTAAACTTGGTCACTTGCCACTGCGCGACAAACTTTAAAGGGATATTGTCATCAAAATATAGCTCATTTTAGTCCTAAAACTCACGTTTTTGCTCAACAATGCCATATACTCTCCAATTAGGGTTTCACATTTAGCGTCCATCAGGGATTAAGGAGAGCATATAGCCTTGTTGAGCGGAGTACGTGAGCTTGACTTTATCATGGGTAGATTTGTTGTATTTTAACAAAAATACCCCTTAAAGTTTGTTAGTTGACTGATTTTAATGAAGATTTTGACTGAATGCAATGAGAGGGACCAAACTAATATGTGATCAAAAGATTAGGAACCACATTTATTGATTTGAAAGTTCAAGGACTCAAATGAGCACTTTTGGAAAGTTCAAGGACCATTGGTGAAAAAAAACTGTATAAATAAACGTGCTACCTCATATACATATTGCATTCCACCATTATTGAATAAGAGTCTAGAGTCTGAAAGTTCCTGTTTGCGGCCATATACTGATTTTGATGTTCTGTTTTGTAAAATTTTCTTTATTGACTAAAAAGGATCTTTGATGGTGCAGGGGTTTAAGAGAGTATTCAATATTTCTGGTGGAATTCATGACTATGCTCAAAGGGTTGATCCAACAATTCCTACTTATTGAGATCTATGAGACAATTTTACAAAACAGAATTATTTTTTTCTTTATACAGCAAGTGGTTTCATATTATCTTTTATCCCCTTTACCGTCCTAAAAGACAATGCAGATGCTGATTCAAATTGTTTGAGGAAATGAAATTTACTTCATCCTCTCTGCTCCTCCCACTGTCTTCTTCATCCGAATGGTTTCATATTTTTGTTCTTGGAAATAAATTGTTTGAGGAAATTAAATTTACTTTTTCTTTGTTCGCTTGAGCAATGGAAACCTTATTCTGGTGCATATTAATGCATTGATAGCTAATGATTGACAAACATCCAAGAACAAAAATGAGGAGAAAAAGATATAGTTTAGGTTAATAATATGATAAAAGCTCCTCAACAACCCAAACAATTGTTTCAATGGTACATATGAACCCTCACGCAAACAAAAAGAAAAAGTATGTAATTGGGAAAGGAAACAAAGGTGACTAAGAACATCTAAAGCTAAGAACACAACTTAAACTACCATTCAAACAAAAGAAATAAAAACACTCCCAAGAAGGTGATCATTTTTGGTTCTCCAAGGAAAAGACTACAAGGGTAAATGCTTAAGCTCTCATCTCTTTTTCTTTTGTGTACAAAGAGACTAGATCATAAGATACTTGGGTTAAAATGAAAAAGGCTTATCTCAACTAGAATAAGCAAAATTAATCCGCCATTGTAAATGTTTTTGTGTTATAAGTTGTGGCTAAATTCATTTCCTAGACATAAAATGCATGTTTCTTTTAGAATCTAGGTCTTCAACGGGTGATTGATTTTATTACGCGTTTTAACTACATTTTTTTTTATATTTAAGGACTTTTCCTATTGAGAGGGGCGATAGCATACTAAACTCACACACACTACATAAATGCTAGGACTCAAACCTAGGACCTTGCTTGAGGGAGTAAATACTCCAAGCCACTACACTCGTGGATCCTTTGCCGTTTTAACTACTTTAAAAACATTCATGTTTAGTGGGCATTGGACCCAAGACTATACTTAGAATCCTTAACTAATCTATTTTCTCCTTCGTCTTCTTCTCGGGCCTCCATCTTCCTAATTACATTACTAATTTTGGAATAGAAGACTCAAAGCCCAATGGGCCTTGAGGGATTTATAATTTAAGGGAGATAGAAATTACATTGGAGAATGAGAGAGGAGAAGCATGCAAGCTTCTATTTAATTTACAACCTCAAAATAAAATTAGTTATAACCCATCCATAAAATCAAACCCATACGGCCAATCACATAGCTCAATTTGGTTTTGGGGTCTTAAGTTGTCGCGCCCCAACCCACGGATTTACGTAACTTTGGGTTAAGACGTGATTCACACCTTAATTATAAAATTAAATAAAAACTATAACTAAAATGTGAAGAAACATTTAAATAAATAAAATAAATATTTCACATAGAATATTCAGCGAAAACGACCACAACTGAAATCTTAACAATTTTATATTATTTTATAAGTTAGAACTACTCTAGAGTTCACTAAAAGAGTAGCTCATTATTCATCTACAAGCTATGTGCACAATGCACTCTATAGATATGCCAAAATCATCACAAGCTCTAGTTTTCAGGTTCTGTACCTGCAAAATCTATTAGGGGGTGAGCGAAACCACATCTCAGTAAGGACATAAACCTTTTCACGGTAAATTGATATAATTAAATTAAGTGACATATAATCACACAGCCAAGTATCACATTATTAATAACAATGAATGAATGCTCTTTATCTATTCCCATTAATTCATATAACTGGGCAAGCAGACCTGCACGTCCCATACCATGCTTATACCACTTGGTCCCGAATGGCCATTTATATGAACTAACACCCATCTCAATCATCCCATAATTCCCCTTTTGTTAGTCATCTTGTCTAACTCCCTGTCACCAGTTCCGAATCACCCAATAAAAACCATGTGCACTGTGTGGTCCCTGAGACCTGGTACTTGCCAAGAGTTAGACTCAACTATATAAAAGACTATTTCCATTATCCTCTTTTCCACCATTATTTTCTCCACCCCAGAATTCTAGTCAAATTTCATGACATGATATAATTATGCCCTTCACAACAATGTAGCCATTTAAAACATCACCAATGCATATATAATTATGCCAACATTGTTCAAATAGTTAAGAGTACGTAAATACCCAATACAAGGAACGTCAATCAAACAATACCATGCATAATATAATGCTCACGGAATTTAATTAAATCAATCTCTGTAAAAGGCCCCCAAGAAACCCCTATCTTGACACCAAAGCTTTTGCTAAAACTGTTAGGTATTTCCCAATTTTCCACCACATTCACAAACCCAGTCTTCTATTTTCTTCCAATACTTCTTCTTCTCTCTACCTCTCTTACTATCTTTCCTTCTTTCTATTTAATTTTCTCTTTGTTTCTTTCTCTCTTCACGTTTATTTCTATGCAAGTTCTTAATGCAGAAGGTTTCCTATTTAAAGAACAAGAGAGGCGGCAGACCAATGTTCACTTATTGGCTGGCAACAAACTTGTTATCCAAGTTTTGGATAACTACATCAAACCAATGACGGTAAGAAAAAGATATCGATATACAAAATATCTTTCATATTCTAATATTTATGATAGCCACTTGTAAGTCAATTACTATATTTGCATGTGCTAAAGTCACCTCTTACTTCTAATATTATAAATTAAACATTTAATATATATATATATATATATGTTACTTCACATAAGTCCATAATCATCCTTATTTCAATTATTTAATCTAATTAAACAATGAAGGATACACAACATTAAACAATTGAGACTTGAGAACATACGAACCTATTTCCAATGGAACATATAATTCAAATTTGACCAATTTAAGCCTTCTGTTAAGTTGGCCGTTGGTCAAATGTTAACTGATGACATATCCACTGTAGGACTCACTAATTCCTTAAAAAAAATAAAAAAAATAAATTATATAATATAATAAAATAACATTAAAAAATCTTTTTTTAAAAAAAAAAACCTTCCTCTCTTCGTCACTCTCTTTCTCTTCGTCCCCCTTCTCCTCCTAGCTCTCCCACCCCATCCCCCCTCTTCCTTCGACGAATCCAGCCACCTACACCTCCTCTTTGAAGCACAGCTCCACACCTACTTGGATCGATGGGAGAAAATTGTGTGAAGCCAAGTTGCATGCTAGGGTGTGCCCGGGAGCCGCGGATATCTAGGGTGGCGGCAAAGGAGGGAATGTATACATTTGTTCCAAGACGGAGCCATAGTTATCGGTTGCAAGATTGCCATGGAAGGCAGAGGCGCCAATAGTAGCCACGACTTCTCCATAGGTAGCAGAATCACGGCTACAACGTGGCCTGGGTGGGCAGCCTTGCCTTGGCCGTGGGAAGGATGTTTGATCTTGGCTGTGGTAGTAGTGCCGTGAAGTTGCTCCACGATTTCGGCTGTGTGGTGGGACTGTAATTTCGACTGCAAGGTCATGTGATGGAATGGTGGCCCCGGCCATGGAGTCGTGTGGAGGTGCAAGGGCATGTGCTGGAGCTGTGTTCACGACCACGAGGCCGTGAGATGGAGCTGCAATCTTGGCCTTTGGGCAATGCAACGGGTGGCTTTGTGCTGCGCCACCTTGGTGGCTTAGACCCATGATGGATTGGGTTGTCGTGGCAGCCTTGCTCCTTGTGCGTATACTTCCGACCATGGTTCTTCAGAAAGCTTCAAAAGATCGATGAATGGAAGGAAACAAATTTCCTTAGGTTTGGATTCGAGAGCAACGCTTTGAGTATATCTCGAATCTCTCAGTGAAAGCACCAATTTGTTTGTACAAATAATCGCAGGGGAGAATATTCGAGATAGATCCTTTTCTTCCTCAATCCCTGCAAAATAGATTCGATCAACGAAGCACATCCGAGAGTTGTTGGCCAAAGGCCCTTCGATGCCTAAGTCAGTTGAATGGTCTTAAGATGCAGCTTTAACTGAAAGGGATGAAGCTTTCTCTTTGGGAAGAGAGATAGTAAGGCGGTCGGAGCAGTGAGAAAGGGAGAGAGAGAGAGAGAGAGAGAGAGGAAGAGTGTGTGTGTGTGTTTCTCTATGGTTTTCATAATTACCTCATATGTTGTGAGATGCCATCTTTATACAGAGTCTCCTCATTGGTTAGGGTTTTGTATAAAATAATTCCCATATGGAAGGAATTATCTTTTCCTTAAATGAGATGACATGATAATATCAGGGAGATTTGCTAGGAATCAAATCCTTGATTTAGAGAGATATTCCTATATCGTAAATCAAGGATAATAGGCTAATTAACCTAAGGAATATTCCTCTATCCACGTGTCACCTTGTGATTGGTTGCCAAAATTCATGTTCCCACAGGAGGCACATAATTCGTATTTTGAGGCTGAGTGATACGGAATCTCCTTTCCCCTCTTATTTCCCAAATTGATTTAGGGTTCATATTGGGGCCGAGTGATACGGTCTGAAATATTCGTTTTGGAGCAGAACCATACGGTCTTAATTTGGATTCGATACTGACTTGAAGATTCATGAAGTGGTTCCATTATTGTAGAGAAGGCTGAATTAATAAAGATGACTTTGAAGAGCAAAACTCATGCACATGACGCTGAAATCAGATATAATATATTGCGGTGAAGTTCCAACGTCTAGTAGTGGCTTTTTATCTTACTTTGATGCAACTGTCTGTGTTGTTTAGCTTGTTATCTGGCCTTTTATCTTTACTTCGATGCAATGGTCTGTGTTTAGACCGCTCACACATTTGGGTCTTTCCAATCCTTCCAACCACAACCACCCCCATACTTCTCTCTAGAACATGCATAAAGCCTCCTTCCTGGATTATCAGGACTCCAACAAATCTTCGTTTCAAGCTCAACTCCACATTTGCAAATACGTACGTACCATGTCATCTTCTGTAATTCAATTACTCGACTATGTAACTTGAAATTCTATGCGTAGAATAAATTTGTAGTTTGTAAAAAGAAGGGAATAACGGTACAAGATTTGGTGGATCCATTGATGTTGTTTTTAATAGATTCCCTCTAGTAAATATTTAGTAAATTTCTTATATATTTAGTAAATTCCCTTTTATATTCTAATTTTATGAAAAAATATCTTGCGTGATTTTAGTAGATGAATTGAGTCAATCATAGACTGAAATTTAGTGTGTTTTTGTTATAATAATTTTCATATATG